CTACATTTAGATCTTTATTTTTTTTATGTCAGAGTTTTAGTTTCCCCCATACAGATCCTATATATAGTTAGATTTATACCTATGTATTTCTATTTTGGATTCTATTTTTTTTTTTTTTTTTTTTTTTGTATTTCAAGTTCCCGCTGTTCAATTGACTTTTGTTCTTTTATCTTGAAAACTCACTGTAATCACTTGTTAATTCCACAAGGAATTTTTGTTGTGGATTTTGGGGAATATTTTACAAAGATAATCATGTCACTTGAGAACAGTTTTACTTCTCTTTATTTCCTTTTATTTCACTAGCTAGGACTTCCAGTATAATGTTGAATACATTTGTGTACTTTTTTTTTTTAAGATTTTATTTAGTCACCTTTAGAGAGAGGGGGAGAGAGGGAGAGAAACATTAATGTGTGGTTGTCTCTCACACATCCCCTAATGGGGACCGGGCCAGCAACCCAGGCATGTGCCCTGACTGGGAATCGAACCAGCAACCTTTTGTTTTGCCGGCTGGCACTCAATCCACTGAGCCACACCAGCCAGAGCCATTTGTGTAGTTTATATATTACTTATTCCTTTCTAAGTTCTAAGTTTTATCCAATTACTTTAGGTTTTGTGGGGTTTTTTTGTTTTTTGGTTTTATGTTCTATTTTCTATCATTTCAGAATTTTCTCAACTTTTTTTGAAATATTGGGTTATATTTTTCAATATTTTTCCTGTTCTGTATTCATTTTTATTAAAACAACTTTTAATAGGATTCAACTATATTCTTTTTTGTGGTATATTTTTAGGCTAAAATAGTTATTCTGTACTTTTAAAAGGGGTGAGTAAATAGCTCTTCTAAACTTATGGTTCTAGAACTTCCTTTTCCGATGGTTTCTTGTTATTTCTTAGCTTTGTCTCTTCTTCTCTCCCACATTTATCTGAACCTGTTTTACTCTTTTCCTTTGCCACTATTGTCCCTGTCCTGATCAAGATGAGCTCTCTTCCCACACGTTTCTTAGTGTTGGGCTTTGTCAAAGAAGAGAGCTCAGGTTTAAATTTTAAGAGTTCATAGTCCCATCCCCCCACATACACATACCCTTCTAGAACTTTCAGATCTTCCTGCTCATCCCTTTGTACTCACCCTGAAATTACAGTCTGCCGGTTTTGCTGATTTCACACTGGTCTCCCTTTCTTTTCCATGAATACCTGTTGGCAGATGTTCTCATAGCCTTCAGATGCTATGTTGTCTTCGCACTATTTCCTCCTACAAAGCTGTTGATACTGAGGTGGTGGTTTGTTCCCACCCACTCATATTTTGAGCTTTATAAGAATTCTTTTTCACTTAGTTATGTGGCAGCTATGATACAAGCATGTTGTCATTAGTGTTTTTCTATCCTAGATGTTCTACCTCTTTTTATGAGACACAAACTACACTGCCTCCATAGTCACCTTCCTAGAGTCTTCAGTATTCATATATTACTTGGGAGAAGGGCAAATAAGAAATTTAAAAAAATTTTAAACTTTTCTTATATTTTTGAAGTCAATAAAAATGCAAGTTGAAATGATATAAATGATAGGTTGATTTTGCTTTCACATACCTTTCAAGTCATCTTTGAAAATTAGTTTACATTTGGTTTACCTAGCTGGAAATGAATGTACAATTGTCCCTTGGTATCCACATGGGATTAGTTCTAGGATGCCCCATGGATACCAAAATTGAAGAGTACTCAAGTCCCTTATACAAAATGAGATAGTATTTACATATAACCTATGCACATCCTCCTGTATACTTTAAATCATCTCTAGATTACTTTATTATACCTAACACAATGCAAACACTATGTAAATAGTTGTTATACCATATCATTAGGGAATAATCACAAGAAAAAGTCTGTAACATATCAGCACAGCACAACTGTTGTAGGCCTAATTACATACCGGGTAAGTCACAAGTAGGTTTACAGTTGTTTGTATGGCAAATGATACAATTAATAACAATATGAGTAAATTGTTTCATACTCTCACTACTGCAAATCTACGTTTGTCCCACCCTGCATTACACATTAGCAATAATCCTCAGTTGGTCGAATGTGAGACTGAGGAACCTGCAGCTGCAGAGGACTATACTCGTAAGTGTTGCTCTATTCTCACAACTCCCCATCCCAACAATTACCTCACACCTAATAAAATTAGAATTAGGCTTAAAATAATGAAATTTGTGGTGATTGCCCAATGTTCTCAGGCCAAACATTTGGAGCTCAAAACTCCACTAAAGCCAAAATGTATTAATGTTTTGTGATCTAAAATTCTGTAGTCCCCTTCTCACACTACAACCTACAGTCCAATTTAAAAAACTGGCTGCCAAGTGTCTGAATGTGATTCACAGGCATGTTTTCTTTAGCCTACTCAGTATTTTTTTAAGTTGTTGACAACACTTAAAGACCAGGTTTCACATAAAAATTGATTTCTGGCTGTGATTTAAAAAACTGAGATCTGATGTCATTAGGCCCACACTCCTACTTGGATCTTGAATCTTGATTAAATAGAGAATGTGCTCTTAGGTTTGTCACACTGTTCTCCCAGATAGCTTTTCTCTTTTTGTTAACTTCTAGCCCTCTTAAAAGCTGTTAAATTTGCAACCACGGACTAACATCTCTTTGATTTCAATCTCATACTTTGGCTTAAGTTACCAAATATGTGATGATTTCCAAATCTGTTTCTACCTACATGTTCTACAGACTCCCCAGAACCCATATATTCAAAGCCATTTTTTTAAACCTATTTTCTTCCACTATTCTATAAATGACCCAGTTAACACAATCACATTCCTATAGTTTCCCAAATTGTAGAAACACTTAGGGCTTTTCATTCTTCTTCCTCATCTTACCAAAACTTTTCAGTCATGTGCCAGACTATGACATGTCTACTTTCACTGTTCCCAATATTTTAAATATCCTTTTCTTCTTCATATCTGGAAGACCCCTCTTATTTCCCAAGATGGAGCAAACTTACTCAACTTCTGAAACTGCCTCCTGCATCCAGGAGCAGTTAGTTGCTTCTTTCCACATACAAGCATCTCAAATATATTGTATGTTATATGGTATTTATATGTTGCTCATTCTACCACTAGATTAGGGATTCATTAAGTATACTAGTCATGATTATCTTTGTATTAAGAGTACCAAGACCAAAAATATATGGAACTCAATAAATGTGTCAAAAACATGAATTTTACAAATCAATGAAAATAAGACTATTTCATATGATTTTACCTTCCTGTATCTTTTATACACTTCAATCTTTGGTTAACTTTTTTTTTTTTGCTGGTACTTTTCAGTGCTTGTATTGGATTGATACTAGAACCATTTCCAATTTTCCACCATGACTAAAAAATTACGTGGCTTTGTCAAAATTTATTGACTCCACTATTAAATATGAGTTTTAAAAATGACTTAAATTTTTAAAAATATCTAAGGATTCCAAGTATTAATTCTGAAAAAAAACCTATAATTATTCATAAAACAGATCCCTGAGGAAAAACTGAACAGCTGTTAAAAGATTAGGCACATCACTATGTCAGCATGAGTTTAATGACCTACATGTGAAGGGTTGCATATCCAGTTACTAATCCTCCCTCAGCTACTCTTTGCCCGGATATAGAGGCAGCTGAAAAAAGATGCCTTACTAACAAATCAGAAATGGAGCCAACGCTCAATTAAGAGATCTTTTAGATTTATGATGAGGAAGAAACAGAGTGACTCACAACAGTGTTCAGCTGACATAGTTTTTCAAAAAATATTTGAGGGTTTTAAGCAAGAGTAACTTCATTTTTGTGGTTAAATTTATTCAACAGATAAATTTCAATTCTTTTGGAAAATTCAAATTCTGAATTTAATTTTTACTCACTGAAACCTTTAAATGTTCAAATGTTTTCAAATATCAAGAATAATTTACTTCAGAATTGTTTCCCTACTGATAGTAGTTTTCCTATTCATCGATTCAAATGTTATTATCTTTAAGTTCTACAATAATCACTTGTTAAAAGTAGGATCAAATTAAAAAAAAATTAAACACAAAATGACACTCTACGGGACTATATTTCAGTTTGTTGACTTGGTCTATATATAGCAAGATTACATAAAGTCAAATATTATAAACAATAAAATGTCACCCGATGGTTTGCAAAACGGGATAGGAAAAATAATTCAAGGAATGGAGAGTAAGATTTCCTATTGTAAGCAAGAAAAAAAAAAAGGCTTAAACATTCTCACTTAACTGCATCTTATTGTAAATTGACTCACTTTTAAAATTTGATTTTCCATTTGAATTGGTAAAATTGTATTATGCTGATAACCTTTTGTACCTATATAGTTTAGGCAAGAGATGCGTTGCTTTCAGCTCCAACAAAGAGCCTTTCGTCACTGTTTCGTGTTTTTTAGAGTAAGAATGTCTTACGTCTCCGCCCGACCGAATATTCTCACAACACGTGAATGAATACATATCCACAGGTACACTGGTGCTTTTAAGTGGAAAAACTCGTCACTGCAACCACCTCCGAGTCCAAAAATCCTAACTGCTGACTCCGCCCCACAGGAACTCCCTCCCCTTTTTCCCTCTGCGGGTCCGGAGTTGGCGCAGTTACAAGACGTATGACGTAAACGCCGAAGCCTCCCTCCCTGCTTCTGGGAGTTGAAGTTTCCGAAGGAGGACTCGTGGACGGTATCAAGACCATTCCGAAAAGGCTTCCTGTGCCTGCTCTCAGGTTCCACAACAATTCAGTTTGGTAAGTCTCCGGGAACTGGGGCTGGCTCTCGCCTACCCTTTGATATCCTCCAGCCACAAAAGAGACGCTCAGCCTGTGCCACCTTCAATTAGCTATAACAGCTTCCGGGGAACAGGAGAGTGAGGCTGTGGAAGTAGCAGTCGCGACCCAGTTGCCGAAGGAAGTGGCGTCAGATAGAGTGCGCCTTCGCGACCCTCCAGGAAGCTCCCTGATTGGCTGTCTTCAGCTTAATGCCGCCTCTGGAGTGCGTCCTCCAGTTTGTGGTCCAGAGGGGAGAGTGGGGCGAGGCTCTGTCCCTACGACGTGGGGTGCCAGCTGTTTATATCCATTTCGGGGCGAGAGGTGGTCCCTAGTTTGTGAAGAGTGAGTTTCCAAAGAACGAAGGGAGAGGAAAATTTGGAGTCTGAAGGGCCGGGAAAAGAGTTACGGTTTTGCCACGTCGTGGCTAGAGACCGTGGGCAAGTCGCTTTACCTCTTTAAACTTCCTTATCTCATTTCTCTAAAGAGGGGCTGACATAGCTGAGCGCTCGGAAATGTAGCGACCAAAGGGAAAGGTGCTGCTGGTGCTTTTAGCCCTATCGTGGGGAGCTCAGGACGATTTTAACAAGACCGAGTTGTTACCTGATTTCACGGAAATAAATATTGAGTGTTAAAATTCTGCCGTTTTTGTAGCGATATAAAGAGGATGCAACAGATGATTTTCTCACTTTTTGTTTTTTAAGTTCTCCCCCTCACCTCATCCCAGAACAACCGTCTCCCTAAGAGACCGGAGAGCTGAGCCAAGAACTGTTGCTACTACTGTAGATTTTTGGCTGGCCTGTTTTAAAAAGTATATTCCTTCCCTGTCACTGTCAGATGATTTAATTCCACTCTGCAGTTATATCAACATTCATTGGGATTTTTCTTGGAGTCTGTCATAATTTATGAAGAATATGCTAGCCCAATCAATAAAATCTATGAAAGTTTTTTTTTTTAACTTTGGCCATTCGCTGATTTTTGATATGTGTTGTTCTTGCTTAAATCTGCTAAGAAATGGAAATAGAAGTATTGAAACCGTTTTTTGTGTGTGCATCCCACACCAAATGGCCTTAGTCATATTTTTACAGTTCTTAAGTTATATAAGACTACCTGATGACCGAGTTCTGTGACTAAATGAACCATTTAAAAAATTCTATGCTGAACAAAATTTCACACAAATATTTCTATAATTGCTACAAAATATCATTCTTAAATATTTGTGGAACGTGGTTAAATGACTGAAAATGTGCCGTGAGAGTATCACTGCATGTGATGGAACGCACAACCCTCTGCCGTAGAGCTTATAAACTGTGGCTAAAAATAAAATAAGAAAGCCAGTATACCAAGTAAACATCATACATATTTTGCTTAACTTGTAAACCGAACAAGCTAGTACCTAGGGAACTGCTTATTGTATGGTATAGGCAGTGGGAGTTGGTACATAACCCTGTATGTAAAGAGTGCTGTAAGAAGTCTTAAGCCAACTTCATTTGTATTGTATTCCATGCCTCAATGTATCTAGCTTATTCAAAGCTTTAAAATATTCTGTTACTATAATGCATTTTCTTGAGGAAAGCTTTAAAAATAATAATGATAACGATTTAACTAACTTAAGACCTATCTATGTATTTGACAGGGTGTTTTTAAGACTTGGGTAGGAAAGGCAAAAGCTCCCCCTGGTGTGCTTGAGCTGTAAAATGTTGCCATACATTGGTTTTTATATTTGAACATAATAGAGAACTAGTTAAAAAAAAAAAAAAAAAAAAAAAAGCCAGTGATAGGGAAATAGTCTTCCTTAAAATATTTTCTGTGAATTTTAATTGTGTTTTTAGGTTTGCATGTTTAGCTTAATGGGCAAATTTAGCTTATGTTTTCTCCACATTGTTTTGCACTCATGCATTGCTAACTTTTATTTAATGTACTATCTTTGGAAAGGAAGTAAAGTAAAAGTGATCCCGGAGATCACAGTATTTAAAATTTTCTTTTAATTTTTTCAGGCTTACTGAATTTCCTGTCTTTCAGTTCTTAAGTTGAATGTTTACTTTGTCTTCCAGCCTTTAACAAGTATTATTAATGAATACATTCAAGGTTACATGTTTACCTCTACCATTTAGTCCTTCTTTCACTCTGATACTGAGATCTTTTAACTTCTCTGACCTACTATGTTTCATTCTGTTTCTCTGTCTGAACTCTGAGTTAGATTGCCAGGATGTCTTCTAATCCATCAGTTACCTCTTAGACACCAGGTAATCTGGAGTTTGTCTCATCTATTGAAATTTTTGTATCTTCACTTCCTGGTTTCCAAATGGGTTCTTTTTCTTTGATTCATGCTTGTTTTACTTTTGTTATGCCTGCTTTCGTGACCCAATTTCCTGCCTTTTTTTTTTTTTTTTACAGTTCTTATGATCTCTGAAAGATTGCAACTAAACTTATTTTAAAGTCATTTTCATATTACCATATCATTTCCAATTTATATAGAGTGAATTTATCTCCCAATTGTTGATTTTGTTGTGTTTTTTTACCTTTCCTTTTTGTAATTTTGCTTTGTAGACTCATCTTGAATGGAATTACCATTTCTCCTCTATAAATCATTTATCTCATACTAATTTTGTGGTTGTGGGCTCATGGCCCTGTTCAGTGCTTCAGCCCACAGTAAATTTTATATAGGTGATTCAGAATTCTTATCATGTAGTGTTGTAAGTTCGTATGTCACCTCAGCAGCTTGGCCCAGGTTGTAGCGGAGAGGCTGTATCTGCTTCCTTCAGGTTTTCCCCAACTATTCAGTTTAGTATTAACCAGTCTAATTCTACCTCTTTTAAGGCTTTTTTCATAAAGAACTCAATCTCCAACATTAGATTAAGGGCTCGTCTGAAACTATCTCCCATCTTCCATCTCCTGTCTTGTGTTATTGCTATTCTCCCTACTTTAAAGCCTGGGAAACTCCCAGTTGCCTTTCCATAGCAGACTCAGCAAGAACAATGTGTGTACTAGTTCTTGCTTTTGGTTTTGAGAGAGGCTGTACCTTTTTTGTTTTTCCTTTTTATCTTTTATCTACTATTGTTATGTCTTTCAAGACTGGAAGGCAGGGTGCCTCAAAACTTCTCTAGGAAGTCTGTCCCAATTTTTCTATTTAGTGGCATATGGATAAAACTGGAGCGGTTTTTTGGTCATCTTTCAGGGACACAAATCTGAAAGCCTTCCAACAGCAGGGCTAAAGCATCATAGATCTTTTACATTCCTTGGAAATCTTTATTTTCTAAATAAGGTCTTTGATTTCTGGAAGGCACAGTTAGATCTGGATTAGAATCATAATTCCACTACTTCATTCGCCTATTCACCCAACAAGCACAATATTTTGAGGACCTACTTTGTGCTAAATTTGTTCTAGGTGCCTTGTTTCTTACGAATTATTTGGTAGCTTTGTGATTTGGGGCAAACTTTTAACCTCACTCTACCTTTTTCCTTTGTAAAATAGGAATGATACTGACTACTTCATAGGGTTGGTTTTAAGGATTAAATTAGATAATTTTTTTTTATTAAGCGTGATAAAAATTAATGTCTGCTATTACTGTGTTTACTTGAAAAATCCTTTGTAATATCATATTCACTCATTTACTTATTTCACCAGTATATAATAAGCATCTAAGTGCCAGGCCCTGTGTTAGTACTGGCAATAATAACGTTGGGCAAAAGCAAACATTATCCCTGCCCATGCGGAATTTTCACTGCAGAACTGAATTTGAGTTGTCATGTCTAGCAGGTATTCCTTTAAACTAAGGGTACTCTTTGGTTAGTGGTTTAAGGAAAACTTGTGACCTCTTACTTGTATTACTAGATGTAATTGTAATTATATCTAGTAATTACATCCTTAGTAATTGTGTGACCTAGTTTATGCCAGGATTTTTGCTGTAGCTCCCAAAGTATATCTTAAAATTTCTTGTCTCTCAGTCAAAATTGGTAAACTTTCCAAGTTTGCCAGTTGTCCCTGTATGTCCTGTTACAACATTGAACTTCTAAAGGAAGCAAGAAGGGATATAATAATGCATATAATAAAACTACTGCATAAATTATGTTTTGCAAAGGTTTTGTCTTTCCGTTTCTGAATTGTGGTGATTTTTCTTCTTTTAGATGATAGCTTCTCTGTACATCCTAGCTATTTCTGTGAAAAGGAGGAATCATACAGTCTTCTTTGAAACCAATAGAACAATTGCATACTTATTCTTTGGTATGGAAAAATAATGAATAACATTTTTAAGCTTTGGTGTTAATAATTTGTTAAAGAGAAATCTCAGTATTTCTAGCTCTTTTTCCTAATATGAAGAGAAATTCACATCTAGGCAATAGATATAAAGGTGTCTGTGTTTAAAACCAAATAAAGATGTTTGTGATGGCCCTAAGCATTCTACAACTGAATACAGAATCAACCTAAGTATTTTGATTTTTTTTTACCATGACTAAAGTGGAAAATTTACAATTATGTACTTACAGTGAAATATATGGAAAGGGGCAACCAGATTTGTTTTTTGTACTATCCAAAATATCTTTTGTCAAAAACCAATTGTGAATGTATTCCCAGATGACAAAAGTAACATTTTTCTCATAACATTAAAGATGACTTTAAAAAGTGCTTTTCATGTTTTTTAAAAAATAATATTTTGTACTATACAACAATGTTTTCATATTTAATTTAGAAAATTTAATATGAAATTTAGAAAATGCAGAATACCGCGGGTAAGAATTAAATGTTTGTGTGTGCTTTTTAAAACAAAATTGGATATAATGTGTGTTTTTTTGTTTTGATTTTATTATTTACCATCACCATTTTTCTTTATCACTAAATAATTTTGGGAAACATGATTTTTATTGGCTGCTTAGTATTCCCAGCCATTATCATTGATAAAGTGTAATTTATTCAATCCCTTTTGCTGGCATTCAAGTAGTTTACAATTTTTCATTGTTAAAAATAACACCACTGTACATAAAATGGTTCTCCCTTCCCCCCCAATCCACTGTTTTGATTTCCATGGTTTCAGTTACCCGCTGTCACCCATAGTTTAAAAATATTAAATGGAAAATTCCAGAATTAAACAGTCCAGAAGTTTTAAATTGCACACTGTTCTGAGTAGAGTGATGCAATCTAAGGCCATCTTGCTTTATCCCACCCAGGATGCGAGTCATCCCTTTGTCCAACATATCCATGCTGTTTACGCTACCTGATTGTTAGTCACTTAGCCATCTCAGTTACCAGAGAGACCACATCTACATAACTTTTATTAAAGTATATTGTGATAATTGTTCTATTTTATTATTTTTAATCTCTTACTGTGCCTAATTTATAAATTAAACTTTATTATATGTACGAATGTATATGAAAAAACATCATATATATGGTATAGTACTCTCCACTTTTTTGGACATCCACTGGGGAATCTTAGAATGTATTCACTGCAGATAAGGGGAGACTACTATATATCCTTTTGCCTTAATTTTGTGTATATTTCTGATTCATTAACAAGAATTCATTCTAAGGAAATAAAATACTGAGTCAAGGTTATCAACATTTTAAAGCTCTTGGAACATACGTCTGGGTAGCCTGCTGGAAAAATTGTGCCATGATCACCAATAGTGTATGAAAGCACCCCATTTTATCACTAGGTGTTTGCCGGTAAACGACATATATTGTCTAAATTTCATTTTTTCCATTTCTGATATGGTTTAATTCTAATCACTTCTATTGGTCATTTGGTTTTTATTTTTTTGAGTGTGCATCATCTATTTATGTCAAAAGTTGCTTTTCAGTTTTCCAGAGGCATCAAATAATGTCATCTGAAATGATGCCAGCATTTATTGAGACTTCTAATGTTGAAAGAAAGCAAGACTTCAGTGAAGATCAAGAGGAGAGCCAGAAGCCAAGATTAGGTGACGAGTTTGAACCAATATCTAAACGACAAATGAAGAAGCTAATGAAACAGAAACAATGGGAAGAACAACGAGAACTCCGCAAGTATGTTTCAAAATGCATATATTCTACTCCTATTTAGAAATACGGAATGTTGGACCTTTCATAGTCCTTTTACACATTAAAAGTAATTGTGTTAATTAAAATTGGGGCCATGCATATTGTTAGCTAACACTGTCAGTTGGCTGTTACAGCTATATATTTGAATTATTTTTTTAAAAGTATTTATGAATTTACACTGCACACTTTTCTCACCCAAAACCTATTGTGAGTAGCAGCACATTTTCTGAAATAACAGACTTAGGAAAGGGATATAATTAGCATCTGTGTCCTAGATATGGAACAAAAATAACCACCTCAAAAAGATTAATTTTGGGTCTGATGTTCATTTTGCTAGAAGAACTATTGCAGGTTTTGTTGAGAACAGTTAGGCAGAAACTGTTATTGTACCTTAATGCCAAAATTTACTGGGAGAAAATAAACTATAGTTGATGCAGATTAGAGAAAAACTATATGAGATTTTTTTTTCCACTCACAATTCTACTTTGCTTTTTTCCTACACCATATAAATGTTGCTAAAAATCATATAGGAGTAGAATGATAATACAACTCTCAAAGTATTAATATTTATAAAGTTTTCTAAGTAGAGTATTATACCAATAATAAATGAATTTATTAGTATAGTTAGGATTTGTGTAAAAAGCATTACGTTGTTTTTGAAAACTCATTTTCTTCCTTTTTAAAACTTAGAGGCACTGTGTAAAATTGCTGATATTTGACCAGTTTTGATCCACAGAAGTGGCAATTTCATATGGTTCAGCCTGCTGATTTAAAAAGTAATTGTTTCTTTGTCTAGAACCGTCTTGTAAATATATGAGTATATAAATAACAACAAAAAGTTATTTCAATTACTAACTTTAGACAAAAGCGGAAGGAAAAACGCAAGAGAAAGCAGTTAGAGCGACAGTGTCAACTGGAATCAAACTCATATGGGAATGATAGAAAACGTATTCGAAGAGATGTTGTTCCCAGCACACTTCGCCTTATCATTGACTGCAGTTTTGACAGTTTGATGGTATTAAAGGTATCATGAATCATTGTCAGAAAAACTCTGTAGGTAAACTGCTAAATAATTCTTGCTTTAATATGTAATATCACTCTGATATAAATTTAGGTATTGAAATCTCAAATCAAGTTTTTCATACTCTGTGCACCCCAAGTTAAACTAATTAATAAATTCCTTTTATGTATGTGTATATGTATATGTATTGACAGAGGGGAGATAAGCACCATAATTAGATTGTAAACCTCAACTGCAGATTAATCATAAAGATCTGTGAGTGTTTATTTGCACTAATTAAAATTAGGAAAATAAGAAATATGATGGTCTTAATAGAATTACTTCTTATTTAATAGTTTGAGAAACCTGGCTGTTTAAATAATGCTAGTGAAGAGAACATGCTTTAATTACTTTCCAAACCATTGGTAAGCTATGAATATAGTAATAGTATGGCTCTAAGAGAGTTTTTTTTTTCTTTTTGCTGACTCTTAAGAAGAGTAAATGTTTCAATGAATGAGCATTTTCAGTGCATACAAAATATGAAATAATGGGTTACTTACAGAGTATTGACTTATAGTAATTATTTTGCTAGTTATATAAGGAAATTGATTGGAAATTATTAAAAAGGATTTGAATATCAAAAGGAAAAAATGTACCTGTCTAGTCATCCCTTGTGCTTATTCTATTTCACTAAGATTGTGGAATGGCCATAGATGATTTTAAAAATACTACTTTAAAAATTATACTTTTTTATAGGACATTAAGAAACTTCATAAGCAGATTCAACGATGTTATGCAGAAAATCGACGAGCACTGCATCCTGTGCAGGTATGTTTGAGAGATTTTAAAACAGACTCTGGCTTCCTTTCTTATATTTTCCTTGGGAAAAGGCATAGATGCTCCCCAATGCCTGACAAGAGTCTTACAGATAATCCCTTAGAGAACAAAATGTCTACTTGAACCATGTTCTATTTTTCTACAAAGATAAAGTAAAATATTTTTAACATTTTTTCACATGTCATTCTCAGTCTGTACACATTGACCTGTTCATTTCTGTGTAGTTGAACATCTTCATTAAAGGATATACATATATTTTCAAACCAGTTTCTTAGCTCTCATTCTTTCCCATCCAGGAAGCAGGAGGAACTGATGCATGCTGTGCTACCTGTTAGTAGGTTTATTCTACTTAAAAGATTTCGAGTAACTGATCATTTTGAAAAGTTCTTTCTTAGCTGCAGTGAGGGAGTGTTTTGTGAGACTAGTTGCCTACTATTAAGAGTTGCCTGCTGTCTGAATTCTAGGTGATGTAATAATTAACACTGGCTCACTCACATTGAGAGCTGGAAATTCTTTTTTGGTTTGATATTTTGTTTTTATCAAGTGATAGTAATTTTATATATTTTTACATTTTATATTCTTCTCACTCTTGCTTAGACTTGAAATAGGTGTCAAGTTTCAGAGTCAAAGAATTATGACAATGTTGGACTCTTAAAAAAATAACAGTAGTGGCAAAAAAAGGAATGGAAACTTGACATGGAAGCAGGGAGTTTATAGAAAAGTGATCATTATGGGAAAGGTACATTATAGCTGCTTGAAAAATAGGCTGAAAATGTAGATGGAATAAAGAAGTTAGTGTGTTATGGAATGCACAAAACATGTCATTTTTACCAAAAATTTATTCTTGTATGCTTAAAGTGTGCTACAAATTTATTTTGTAGAATGAAAATATTTTGTTCTATTGATGATCAGATTAGTGTATGAGGGAAATAAAATACTGTACTTCAATAGTCATTTGCTCTCTCATAATTATGCCAATGAATTTCTTATCAGTTTTACTTGACAAGTCATGGAGGCCAGTTGAAAAAGAACATGGATGAAAATGACAAAGGATGGGTCAACTGGAAGGTAATTAAAGTCAATTAACTTTCCCATAATTTCAAATACTTTTAAGCTTAAAGGTCTACATTTTTTACCTAAGTTCTACATAATGTTAATAAATAGGAGAGTCAACAGTCTCCAAACCCTGCGTATCATTGTACCAAATTTTAAGGGCACTAATTGTAGAAGGTAAAGAGACTGTGATTATCTGTCTGTATTTGCTCTCATTAAATCTCACTTGCTATTTTGCCTCCAACTTTAAAACATTTTTTAAAAAAGGAAAAAAATGCAATCTCTACCTAGGAAACTGGCTATGCATTATTTACGAGTGAAGCCCCTCTCAAATTTGAAAATGTACTTGCATTGATTCTTTTAAATCTGTGTTCTCTCATGTCCACATGTGAGTATTGAACTCTTTCTCAAAGCCAGTTCTCACCATAACAAACTTTTCTTCCCATGCTCACAAATCCCATAATGACTGAATTTATTTTATTAATATCCTATAGTGTGAAACATTTTTAAAGGCTTTTTTAAGGTTTAAAATACAATATATTTACCAAGTTTTATGATCTTGCCTAATTTCCTTAGAAATGTAATAAGCTTGAGTAGGCATACTTTCAGTTATTTTGTGGCTTGTTACATTTATTATTTATACTACTAACTTTCCAGAGAGAGAGATGTTCACTGGTCTCTAATTTCATGTCCTTCTTGAGGCCCTTATTAAGCGTAAGAGCCAAATTATAACATTTTCTAGAAAACTGGCTGTTTATTTATCAATAGGTTACACGTTTTAGGCGAGACAAGTCCTGCTTCATTTTTGATTTCCTTAACAATTACTGATTAAGCCCTGACCAGTGTGGCTCAATTGCTGGGGGGATGTCTTGCAAAGCAAAAAGTTGCCCGTTCAATTTCTAGTCGGGGCACATGCCTGGGTAGTGGGTTCAGTCCCTGGTCAGGGTGTGTACCAGGTGCAATCAATTGATGTTTCTCTCCCTCTCTTCCACCTTTCCCCTTTCCCTAAAATTAAATAAATAAAATATTTTTAAAAATTACTGGTTAAATGTCATCTGAGCCTCATAATGTATTTTCTTTTATTCTATCAATATAGTTTGCAAAGGTCTGCCCACTGTTGTTCAGTTTTCTACCTGTGACCTAAAAATTTTGGTGAAGATGATTTCAGATATGTATCTTTGTAAAAATATTTGTATGGAATTTATTAAATCTATAAACCATTTCCTTTTGATGATTCCTGTAGATGGAGAGGAATTGGAGAAGGAATTCTTTGGCTAGAAAACAATGTGAGCAAATATATGACAAAATGTGTTTGTTTTGTTGGAACAAAGTTAGAAAGGGTAGGTAAGTGCCATATTGGGAAAATAGTTACTAAGGAGTTTTAATTTTATCCTACAGATCAGGATAAAACATTGAAATTAGTGTTTTCAGAAAATGAGCCTGACATTAGCCTATGGAAGTAAATTAGAGGGATCTGAGGCAAGAGACAGGAAAATAGCATTAGGAGGCCACTTAATAAGGTGTGAGGTGATAAGTTAAAGTAGAAGGTTATAAATAATGCATTGTAAGAACATTCATACTACCATTAATAGGATTCACTTCCTTTGAAAATGATTATTAGCCAATTTTCACAAAATTCTATGAGTTAATAACATCTTTCCCCATGTGTCTTAAAGGATATCCACATTAAACCAGAGCACTATAGTGAATTCATAAAAAAAGACGACCTGATATATCTTACATCAGATTCCCCTAATGTACTGAAGGAACTAGATGAATCAAAGGCTTATGTGATTGGAGGATTAGTAGATCACAACCATCACAAGGTACCAAGTTTATATTTTTGCTTTTTCTTGTGCTTAATATTGATATACCAATTTTCTCAATAGTAACAATACTACTACTTGATAGTAGCAATAATACTTATGATAGCTGATATTTATTGAGGGCCTGCTCTGTTTCAATCACCTTTCTGGCTAGGCAAAGCATTTCACATAAGGGTGGGGCAATATTAGATGTACAGCTGTTTGTATGGAAAATAATACAATAATTAATAAATAATAATATGAGAATAAGCTCTGTGTTTCACGTACTCACAACTATTAACCTCCTCTTGCCTCACCTGTATATCAGTGTGCTTAATCCCACTATAAACCAGTAAGGTCAGTGCTATTATTGTCTACATTCTGTAGCTGGGGAACTGGATGCCTAGAGAAATTAAGTCTAAAATCAATCGTAGTAGGTGGGAAAGCAGGTATTTGAAACCAGGCAGATTGTTCTGGAGCCCAGATGGTTAACCGATATGCTGTATGGATAGAAGATGCTGGTGCTAATCAATTTCTAGGCCACTGGTAAAATTTATAACAAAATTGATAAATTTATATTTTAAATATGTGGTATTCATGGGACATATTTTTTGTTCTCTTATGTTTCTACATTTGTCTCTTTGTACCTCCTTACCCTCATTTGAATAAAAAATTACAGAACTAGACTTTCTAATAGAAAACATAATTTTGTACTTTGTCACCTACTTTGCAATATGCTAAACACAACCCAACTAAAGAAAAAACATGTTTACTAAGTGTCTGAGGAGATGTCTTCAGCAGAATAATATAAATTCATTATTATTGTATAGCACTACTGTGCAGTAGCACTCTCTCCAGTGTTAGAAGTGTTTATACCATTCTGTCTAGTGTGGTAGCCCTGTGGCTATTGAGCATATGAAATGTGTACAGTATAACTGAGAGACAGAATTTTTAAAAATTTTGATCAATTTAAATTTAAGTAGTCATATGTGGCTATAATTGGACAGTGCATCTCTATAGCATCAGGGAATTTTATCAGAATCTTTAGCCTTTTTATTACTTTCTTAGTGGAAGAATTCTATTTTTGTTATTTATGTAGAACCAAATTTTATCTTTCATGTTGTGTATAGCCTTTAACTAAAACAATTTTGTTTTCAAAAGCACTTGCATCAATCATCATTATTTATTTATCCTTAAAATATGCAAACTGCTGGTTGAGAAGTTAGTTCTTCTTTCTCCTATACTCTGTCTTTTGGCTATTTCAGTTCTGATTAGACCCTGGCTTTAAAAGTTTTAATTTTGAGAGGAGAGAAAATTCTTCATATTCAATAATCTTTTAATTGATAGGAAGGGAAACATTAAGTTAATATGCAATTTAAAAAATTTTTTCAGTTCAGTATTTTAAACTAAGAGAAAGGCACTGTTGAACAGTAAACAGGTATTTGAGTCAGGAGGCATGGACCAAGTTTTTCCTATGGTTCTGCCCCTGAGGAGCTTTGCGACAGAACAGGGAGCGTGTATTTGGTTTCCTCACTTGTAAATTGGTTCAAACAAATGCCCTAAACATCCTATCTCATTGTCAAGAGCGTATTTCAAAATTAGCATTTAAACATACATACACACAAACACACAGATACTTCAGATAATATTCTCTGAATTAAAATCTTTCCTAAAAATTATTTATTCTGTTGTAGACTTTAAGTTAAAATAATTTAATGTTCTAGTCCAAGTTATAGTCTCTTTGTTTTAGGGACTCACATATAAACAAGCATCAGATCATGGAATTGACCATGCACAGCTCCCCCTTGGAAATTTTGTGAAGATGAATAGTAGAAAAGTTTTGGCAGTTAATCATGGTAAGCTATAAGGGTATAAACTGAAAATATACCTGAGTGAACATTGTGAAAAATAACGTTATGTTTACGTTTTGGACAAGTACAAAATATACACCTTGCTGGAGACAAAACTATAGAATGTAATGATATATAATTTGAATATAGAATTAATACATGATTATTTTAGAAGATTATGGAAATGCAGAAAACTATAAAGAAGAATAAATAAGATATAATTTCACTACCCAGAGATACCTGGTATTAACTTTTTTGGTGTGGTTCCTTCCAGTTCTTTTCTTTTGCATATATATTATTTACTACATAATTGGACTCTTACGCTATTACATAAAATGTTATAAATCTGGGTGTTTTCTCCCATTTATAATTACATATTTTCATTTCATTGAATTATTAATGACTATGTAATATTTTTACATCGAATGAAGTTTTGCTTTCAAAATTTTTTTAAGTAGAACCCCAACCAGAGTACCAGGGTAACTCAGTTAGTTGGGTAGCTTCCCATAAGGTAAAATGGTCATCAGTTCGATTCCCAGTCAGGGCACATGCCCAGGTTGCGGAGTTGGTCCTAGTCAGGGCATGTATGAGAGGCAGTCAATCAGTGTTTCTCTTCTCACATCGATGTTTCTCTTCCTCTCTTCCCCCCTCTCTTCCCTTCTTGAAAAAAAGAAAAAAATAGTAGAGATTTTTATTGTTACACAACTGTTTACTGGGCTCTTTATAAGTGCTAAGAACTTTCTCCATAGTAGGTTCTAGGGAGTTACAGAAATGAATTTACTGCTTCCAGGACTGAACTTCTTCTAAGACCTTTGATAAATTGTAGAAATTACTTTTCCATAAAGTAATCCAAATTAACTTTTCCGCAATGTATTAATGTGAGAGTACTTTGGAGTCAGTATTAAATTTTTACCTCTAATGTGGAGGTAAAAAATCAGCCAACATGCTCCCCAGAGTGAGTAGCTCTTTATAGGTAAGATAGAAGAAATTTAGATTAATCCTAACTCTTTTTTTTTTCTAGTTTTATGTCAGCCCATAAAGGATAAAGAAGTGAAAGGGATAAAGAATGGAAAGGAAGCAAAAATATTTTCTGTCTATTGATTCTTATTGACAAGGATAATGGTAAACTCCTGAATGTTTAAGAATTGAATTGAGGAGGTAACAGGCTTGAGAGGTTTGGGGCTAATTGGCTCTGACAGCCAATTGGAGAAGAAGGTGATAAGAACAAAGTAATTATTAAGACATACTAGCACTCAACACAAAAGCAATGTATTTTAAAAGATAGTATGCAACACTGTGATGAACTTGGCTGAGAAATGTATACAGTTTGTCTTTGTTTCAGTGTTTGAGATTATTCTGGAATACTTGGAAACAAGAGACTGGCAAGAAGCATTTTTCACTATTTTACCGCAAAGGAAAGGAGCTATTCCCACAGACAAAGCCTGTGAAAATTCTCTGCTTGACAAGAAGTCTGCCAGAGTTGAAGGTGGATTGGACAGTGATACCAGTGAGGAAGAAATGAGCAGAAATGAACCAGATTCACCATGTGAAGAAGAAAAGCAGAATAAAGAAAATAGCACTGAATCTATAGTGAACTGTATACCAAAGTAATGTTACCGCGTTTTTGTTTCCTCCCTCCCTCCCTCCCTTCCTTTTTCCTTTCTTTCTTTCTCTTTCTTTTTTGTTAAGGAAAAATTAGAACATAAGGTGCTTCATAGAATACTAAACTTGGAAGAAAATTTCGTTTTCTCTTATTTTTGTTGAATTTTTAAAACTTTTAGAGCTGATAAAAAGTTGTAGTAAGAAAGCACTTTTTGTTTTTGCATGAGTCACAAGTGGAATTTGAAAAGTTCGTTTTCTAAGCCTCAAAGAAGAATTTTAGAGGATTTTACTTTAATAGTAAACCTTCATTCTCTCATTTACTGAGTTGTATTCTTCAGAATGTGCCTTCTGACCCTAAGTTTTATTATTTTATGTTTATATCAATGTCTTACTGGTTTATTTCCTACTTATTTGTGGAGGCAGGTATTTATAAATCTCCTGTAAGTGTACCAAAGTGTTCAGTATGTGAGATTACCTTCCACTTGCAGCTTTCATATTCAATAACTTCAAAGGAATATTGTGATTTTAGGAAGAAGTATCAGATTGATAAACTCAACAATTTATTTGTTTTGAATGATTGATCTGTCTCTGTTCCTCTTTTCAATGCCTTTTCATGGTTCTAAAGCAATCACTGACAAGTTAATCTCTTTAATATATATTTTTAAAATATATTTTTTAAAATCCAAATCATGGTGATAAATTATTTCAATTACACAATTTCATTTTTCAGGCTAGATTATTTTAAAAGACTGTTGAAGGATCAGTTTTGTCTATGTAAAAAGAGCTCTCAGCAACTATCTTTTTGTTCCACATATACTTAAAAAAAATCTGTTGGTTCTTAAAGTTAACTTTATATGTGCATCTGCCTACTATAATATGAGCAAGTTAATGTAAATGTTTATTTCTGTAAATATGTATGAAAATATGCATATAATTCTATATATATCTTGTCTACATCATGTATGATTCTTAATGATACACAGGATTGAGTTGTTGTTTATGTGTATTATTTGTGTGAATGGTCGTCTTCAACACTACTAAGGAATTTGAATTTCAAAAAGTATAAAATCTATAAATATTTGTATAAGGACATTGGTAAGGTAATATGGGGCTAAATGAGATGTTTCAGTTTCTTACCCATAACTGTAGAGCAGTTATGTTTAAAGTATATACTTGTCTTTTGTCACAACAATAGTAAGATTTCAGAAACATTCACTGAGTGGATAAAATGAAGTTTCTTGTTACTCATTGGCATCTTATACACATTTACAAATTACACAAATTATATATTTATACAAACTACATACACATTTAGTAGAAAACTTACTCGCTTTAGTATTGATGTTCTTTATCTCTTTTGCTTTATTCTTGGTAACCTATTATAGTTATCTATTTGTAGTAAGGTTTGTGAGCAAGCTACATAAACAAAAAGCCCCTACAATTCTAGAAGAACAAAGCTTATGTCTTAAGTTGGATTTTTCAAAGGTTCAGATTTTTCTAAGTAAATAAGGTTTAATTATACCTTTCATTTAAATTATTTCATAGGGAATAGGCACAGTTTAATTTTGAAAGGTGGGAGAAAATCATTACAGGCACTATGTAGTTTAATTTTCAATAACTATAAAAGTCTTATATTAGTTTCTTAGAACTACCATAACAAATAACCACAAATTGGGTGGCTTAAAAGCAACAGAAATTTGAAATTTATTCTCTTACAACTCTGGGGGCTAAGAGTCCAAAGTCAAGCTGTAAGGGTCACTGAGATTATATATAAAAATTATAGAATATATGTGTATATATATATATATATATATATATATATATAATGTCAAGAGAATTGTCCATAGAGTGAGAACATGTACAGACAGCAATTGTAGAAAAGAAAAAAGAATGCCAGGGATTACAATTAATGACAGCAGTGGCCTATAGTGCTCATTAAAATGATCTCGGTTAGCATAGAGATGTTTATCTGTTTTCCTGCCATCTTGCCAGACACACAGAGTAGGCACTTAAGAAAGGTGAAGAAAGGAATCAATGATAGAATCAAAAGATAATGCTGTTGGTGGAAAGAGTCGCCCTAAATCTCAGGACTGCCACTTGTTAGTCATGTAACTTTGGGCAACTTATTTAACCTTTGTGTGTCTCGGTGTCCTCATTAGTAAAATGGAAATATTACCCCATTTGTCCTCTCTTTGGATTGAGTAATCGATTAGTTTGAAACCTAGCAGCTAACTTGATAATACTGTCTTATATTGGCATTCCTTCAGTCCTAGCCTGATTTCCCTTGCTACTCTCTCTTCCTTTTTTACAGTGCCAACTGAAAAGTTGTAATATGCTTTGTTTCAGGCTCTGCTTTTTGAGGAACCCAGGCTTAGATAAGGTTTTTAAAATGCAAACTTTCTTAATTACCAGAGTGAATACTCATTAAATAAAATATGGAAATCACAGATCATTTAGTGAAGCATTTTTTAAAGCAATAAAAACAATGCTAATACAAAGCAATAAAATTACTCAGCAATGTTAAAAATACAGAAAGGCATATTGGGATAAAAAAAAGTCACAGTTTTCATGTTGGATAAGGTTCAACACATTACAAACAGAAAAGAAGGGAATTTTGTAATGTTCAAGAAGGCATATAAAAAACTACTAAACAATTTATGGGTTACAAAAAAATGAAAATTAGAAAACTAGTAAATTTAACAAAACTTAAAACTTGTGGAATATAGCTGAAACATTTAGAGGAAATTTTATAGCCTATATTGCTTAAGGTAGGAAAAAAAAGACTAGCATTATTGAGTTGTGCGTTTAACAAGAGCAATATATTCAAAGTTGAAGGAGGGAAATACAATAGCAAAAATTAAAATACAAACATGCAATAAGAGGATGAAGGCAAAAATGGACTCTTTGGAAAAACTAAGATTAACCTCTGGCAAAATTCAACAAGTAAAGAAGGGAGAGAGAGGGGGCACATAATACAGAAATGAATAATGACTATTGAATTGGAAACAAATGGATATTATAAAACACTATATCAATACATTTGAAAGTTACTTGAAATGGCTATTAAAATAAAAATTACCAAAAATAACTCCAAAAAATTTACAACCACAGAGTTTTATAACTCTAAGTAAATTGATTTAGTATTTTAAAATCTAGGACCAAATGTCTTATGGGCATATCTGTAAGACATACCAAAAGCAAAAAAAAAAACAAACAAAAAACAAAAATTTAACACAGACTCTTTCGTGGAGAATTAAAAATGAGGGAATCATTATAGTATGAATCTTGTTAATTGTGCTGTTCAAGTCATGCATATTTCCATTTGTGTTTTTTAAAATTATGGTAAAAACATAACATTAAATTTCTCACCTTAATCGTACTAAGTGTACAGTGCAGTAGTATTAAGTATGTTCACGTTGTACAACGTATCTGAAGAACTTACTCATCACGCAGCACTGAAACTCAATACCCACCAAACGCTAATTCCCCCTTCCCCTTCCATCTTCCACTAGCCTTTGGTAAATACCTTTCTACTTCTGTCTCTCCGTGATTTTGACTACTTTAGGTATTTCATATGGTGGAAGCATGCAGTATTTGTCCTTTTCTGACTAGCTTACTTAGCATATTATCCTCAAGGTTCATCCATGTTATAGCATGTGATGGGATTTCCTTCTATTTTAAGGCTGCACGATATTTCATTGTATGTATGATGCACCACATTTTCCTTATTCATTCATCTGTCTCTGGGCATTTGGAATGCTTCAACATCTTGTCTATATTGCACAATGCTGCAGTGGACACTGGTGTGTAGCTGTCTCTTTGAGATCCTACTTTCAGTTCCTTTGGATATATACTCAGAAGTGGACTGCTGGATCATATAGTAATTCTGTTTTTAAATTTTTTTGAGAAAACACTATACTGTTTTTCTTAATGGCTGAACTATTTTACCTTCCCACCAAAAATGCAGAATTCCAACTGCACATCCTTGCCAACAATTCCTTTCTGTTCTTTTCATAGTGGCCATCCTGATGGGTGTGAAATGATATATCATTGTAGTTTTAATTGCATTTCCCTAGTGACTAGTATGTTGAGCATCTTTTCATGTGCTCCTTGGCTATTTGTATATCTCCTTTGGAGAAGTGTGTGTGTTCAAGTTGTGTGCCTATTTTTTAATTGAGTTTTCTGTCATTGAGTTGTGGAAGTTCCTTAGTTATTTCAGATATTAACCCTTTATAAAATGTATGATTTGCAAACTTTCTACCATTCCATAGTCTGCCCTTTCACTATATTGATTGATTTTGTGTGTGTGTGTGTGTGTGTGTGTCTGTGTGTGTGTGTATGACAGGAACTTTTAAAGTTTAATAGAGTCTCATTTATGTTTTATTTTGTTGCCTTTGTTTTGGTGTCAAAGCTAATCACTGCACAATCCAAAGTCCTAAAGTTTTCTTCCTGTGTTTTCCTCTAGGAATTTAATAGTTTTAGGTTTTACATTTAGGTCTCTAATCAAGTTTGAGTGCATTTTGTGTATAGTGTAAGATAACTTTATTCTTTTGCAAATGGAATCCAGTTTTCCCAATACCATTTGTTGAAAAAGAGGGTTCTTTCCCCATTGTATAGTCATGGTACCCAATGTTGAAAATCATTTGCCCCTTTTTGCAATGGTTTATTTCTGGCATCTCTATTCTGTTCCATTGATTTATAGGTCTATATGCCAGTACCACACTATGTTAATTGCTGTTGCTTTGTAGTATGTTTTGAAATCAGGAAATCTGAAGCTTCCAACATTTTTTTCCTCAAAGGTTTCCTTTTAATTGAAGTTATTGGGGTGACTGGTTAATAAAATTATGTAGGTTTCAGGTGTGCAATTCTACAATACTATATATTGTATTGTGTGTTTACCACTTTAAGTTTTCATCCATCACCATTAATCCCCCCTTTATCTCCCCCTCCCCTTCCTCCTCCTCCCTTCTTTTCTTCCTCCTCCCTCTTCCCTCCTCCTTTCTCCCCTCCCCTCCCCCTCCTTTTCCTTCTTTTTTCTTCTTCCTTCGTCATCCCTAGAGATTCTATATGCATTTTAGTATGGCTTTTCTAGTTCTGCAAGAAATGTCATTGGGATTTTGATAGGGATTGCACTAATCTGTAGATCTCTTTGGGTCGTATGTACACTTTAATATTTTCTTCCCTTTCTTCTCTAAATTGTTTTTGTTCTGTTTT